ACTAAAAGAAACTCAAATAATATTTTGAGTCATGTAAAGTCAGGGTTTATGGAAACGTTATGACATTTTTAGCTCTTACCTGCTGTAGATACCTCCTAAGGTTGGGCAATATTGGCAAATAAATTAATCACGATTAATTGCGGTATTTAGCTGATAACGATTAATTTGACGATTAATCCCCGGAGTCCCTGGACACCCTTATGTCCTAGTCACATGACCAATTTATAGGGAGAAAATTGGCTCTTCGTAAAAATCTGTTCCAATTTGTGTCAAAATTACAGACTTCAGGCTATACATCAAACTTTAAATTGTGTTGATAGATAAATAAATTACACAACTTTTTAAATGTTTGTTATATTTGAAGCAGAGAGGAGCACCAAGCGGTTAGTCTGCCGGGTGGCATTAATCGTATTAATCATCAAGTGCCAAAAATTAATCGATTAAWGTTTTTCTGATGATTAATTGCACACGATACGATTATGCCCAACCCTAATACCTCCTTGAACAAACTTTGTTTGAATAAATAAAGTTAAATTCCAATCAAATTTACRAGCTAACAGCTAGTCAGAGCGAGACCAAGATCAAACTGGATTTAAACCTAAAATGGTTAAGGTTAAAATCCAGTTTACATGAACTGCTATGAAAACACCCCACTCAAACTAGTCATTAGCTCATTAATCTGACACAAGGTGTTTCTCCACACTGAGCTATCAACAGCAGTAAGATAATACGGTAATTGATCAAAATGATCTGAACTCCAACTTTAATATAATTTATGAAACCTGGGATTTTCATGTTGTAACCAGCAAACATGTCCATCGTGGAAAACATAAAGTTCAGTCTGGAGTGTAAAAGTTCATTCTTCCATTTCTGACTGTGTAATTACACAAAGCATGCTGACATGTAGTGTATGTATTTAAACTGTACTCTTCATGTTTCATTTGTTTTCCTAATGAGAATCAGAAATAGAGACCTTTATATGTTCTTTCCATTCAGGGCTCAAATTTACTCCAAAATGCCAGAGACAAAATTATCTCTGTCTCGTTAGTAGTTCCCTATCCACCTCTGGTAATCCGATGACGTAAAATGCACGGTTAACAAATAAAATAATCATTAGATTCAGAAATGTTATTGGATAAATACACAGTGCAGTAAAGTATACTGTATCTCTATTCTTTACCATAAAATAGCTGCAAAAACCACATATGGCACTCAAATCCAAACCCTAAACATTCCTTCAGTGTCTCTCCCAACTTTAAAGTATCTTTCTGGTCGACTAATGGTGCTTCACATTATCTTACATTTGAGTGAATTACTGGTCTAACCAAATTACAGTCTCATTTGGCTTGTGGGTTAATGCTATTTTCAATGCTGAAATAAGACAAACATCCCGTCGGACTCTGTGACCAGAAAACATGTGAGACACTTAATGTAATCAATCATTTATGTCCTGACATGAAGTAAAGCTTCATCTGCCAAAAGGAACAACAGTCTTATCGCAATACATGCACGTTCTAAAATTCATTTTTAAATTCTTGATTCCTCTTTGAGGATAGTTTCCAGGCAGGGTCAAAGGGAACTTCCTTTCCAAAAGAAGAAGCAGGTTACTGACACTTGGACATCAAACAGGTCCTGTAATGCTGCTTGAAATGACACAAAGCGAACAGACTGGAGAAGAACCCAAATACTGGTGGGAAACAGGCGAACGTATTCATGGTTGGGGATAAAATAATATGCACTCCCACCCAACTCCTGCCACAGACTCGGCTGGAAGACTTGAACTAATCAGGAAGAGTGCTGAATGTTCAATTGAGAGAGAAAATATGTCTGAAGTTTGAAAGACAAGCAGGGTTAGAACTGCAAATACAGATTTATTAATTTTATAAACCTGTCTTTTAATAAACCAGATATTTAAATACATAGCATAAAAAACTCTGACATTAAATTTGGTAGCACAGTCTTTAAACTGTATGAGTCGGGTCAAACGTTTTGGGGTATTCTTTCACATTTCTCCTGACAGAGCTAGTGGAACTGAGTCAGGTTATTCACACGCCTTCTCAGCTCTGCCCACAAGTTTTCTATGAAACTGAAATCATGGCTTCATGATGGTCACTTAAGCCACGTTCCTGGCTGAAGTCTTGAGATGTTGCCTTCTGTGTTTCCACAAAACRTTTCTTCATGATGCCATTTATTTTGTGAGATGAGCAACATCTTCATAAGGTCTTTTGTTCTTGTTTCAAGGTCTGGTTCTACATCAACAACATGTAAGACTTGCACCGCCAGAGCTGCAGGTTTTTCGGTGCCTTCTCCTGCACTCACATAAATGTCCAATCTCCTTCCAGGAGTTCTTTTACTGTCTTTAAAGTTTTATCTGCCTTTCTTTATTCGTTTTACTGGATCAGTTGTAATGATGGCTGTAATTTCTCACAGCCTCAGCCAGCAGTTTCTTGGCAGACACTGCTCAAAAACAGGCTTTTAGGTAGGATTTTTGAAGAAGGCATCAACACTTGAAGCAACCCAACCCTTTTAGCGGGAGAGGCATTGTGATAATGCCCTGTTTGGTTTTACGACACCTTCTTTCAGCTGGCGATGCCTCAGGATGCCTTCAGGGTACCGTGCCTGTCTTCAGGTCTGCTGAGTTTTTTTGGTTTTTTTTTTTTACTCTATGTAAATTTCATAACCTTTCGTGAACTTCAAAAGTGGAGGAGTGGGTGACCACAATTATTTTATGAAGCCAGGGGAAGACACATTCAGAAGAAACTGCACTGGCTTAGATAGAGGAAGCAGGTAACAATTTTACAGCTGCAGTAGCCATTGTTGTGTTGTTTTCGCACCCTCCAGTCTGTTGGTAACTTTGTGTCTTCCAAAATCCTACCTAAAAGCCTGCTCACAAAGGTTTATTAAATTYACGTGAGAAAAGAAAAGTTAAAAACAAACTGATAAGACATTGTGACTACACACAACAGCTGCTAAAGTTGGAAATAGGGCTGCCACGACTAGTCGATTAGTCGACGACTAATCGATTAATAAAAATAATCCATGACTAATTTAATAGTTAATCATTTTTTTATTTTTTTGTTCTTTACTTTGTTTTTCTCTCCAAACTGCTTTGACACCTTCCACTGCCACATCTGCCTTTCTGTCTTTGACACACATGCACAGTAGTGGTAACTGGGGTAGGCCGTGGACGTCACAAGACATTATACAGACAGGCTCTGGTATCATGGCTACCCAGCAAYGGAGCTCAAAAGTGTGGGATCATTTTAAGAAAATGAAAGAGAAACCTGTGCAATATCTGCAAGGAAGAACTTGTCTTCCACAGCAATTATTTTTAGTTAGCATATAGTTAAAATGTAATGATGGTTATATAATAGCAGCTGCATTCTGGCGCGATAAGCTGTATGTTTTATATTCAGTTAACATATGATCTGATTAGTCGACKAATCGAAAAAATAATCGGTGATTAATCGACTATAAAAATAATCGTTTGTGGCAGCCCTAGTTGGAAATTATTACCCATTTCCTCTATACAAGCCAGTTCAATTTAATCTTAAGATGTCTTCCTTTGGCTCCAAAAAARTCATTTTGGTCACACCCACGCCTCTTATGAAGTTTACAAAATTTCCGTAGGGAAAAACAGACAACTTCTGGACAAAACGGAAAATCTGCACGGTGCCCTGAAGGCAACACGAGGCATCACCAAGCTAAAGAAGGTGTTGGAAAAACTGAGCTGAAGGTGGGTGTTCAGCAGACGTAAAAGAAGAAAACTACACACTTTTCATCACGCACCCACATCAATGAGACATAAGAGTGGGAATTCACTTTGACTATAAATTAAACGTGAACGGYGATATACTTGGGAACGCAGAATCCGTCTCCATCCTTCTGAAAACTGTCCCAGAGTTGTGCAGGTTGGCATTTCTCTTACTGCTGCAGTGTTTCAGGTGTGCCACAGGTGAACCTAAATTTGACTCAGATGTTGTCAACTGAGCAATCAAAAGCTTCCAAAGCCATGACATTATCTGGGCTTTCCCAAATTGTATCAAATCACAGCAATCTTGTGTAAACATGCGGTTTTTAAGAAAGTAATATAGCTCTTTAAAAATGGTAACTGTAAACCAATCAACAAAGATGAAAACAAAGAAATAAATCAGACAAACTTTTATTAAATATTGCTCTGTTTCACTTGTTCCTATCCTGCTCACAGACAAAATATACTCATGAAAAAGGGATGTTTGTGTCCTGGTTCCCTTTTGTATTGTTAACCCTCTCTATACTCTTCACTATTCGGAAACTTTCAGAAAGACATGAAAGTCAATCAATGTCTCTATCGTTTTAAAAGCCGTAACAATTCTGTTTATGAGCCAGGACAAACTGATTTTAAAAAGACTTGATGCATATGCCAGCTAATGACATCACCTCTTAATTAGACACTAATTATTTTAACAGAGTAAATTAAGAGAGTAACATCCAACATCATCACCTCTAAGATTGACCACAACTGTATCAGAACTCTAACTGACATCCTTAACGTGGAGCTAAAATGACGATGCAAGCCGAGACTCGGGCTTCTCCTTGGTTTCCACAAACACGCTCTGCGAGTACCGGAGGCACCAGATCAGGTATGTGAAAGTAGCCGTTTCAGACCTCGTAGGAGCCCCAACTGTGTAATCTTCTGCGGAGCGCACACACCCTCACTGGCGCGTCCTGCGAGCGCTGATTCAATTACGACGGGAGCGGAAATGGCAGCAGCTGGCTGAGTTATGCCATCTTTAAATAGCAATTTGCTTCTCACTCCAGGGCTCGGACGCAAAAAAAAAGGCCGCCAAGTCAGTGGAAAGCACTCGTTAACGTCACAAGACTTTCCTCTACTTTGAGATGAAACCCTCTTGCAAACAAGACAAAAATGGGGAAAAATAAGTGATGAGGATCAGGTAATAATCGAACCTAATTTCCCTCTGGGATCAATAAAGTATTTTTGAATTTGAATTGAACTGAATTGTAATGTTACCTGAGACAGGTGGAGTGAGCTGATCATCCTGCGGAGAATGAGCTTCGAAACGGAAGGGACGAGGGCGCCTTGTTCCCAATCCAGGCTGGGTGAGCGTCACCGCYGAGCCTGCCCCAGAAAACCACCACTCACCACAGGGACCAGTGGCCCACTTTCACAAGCAGCCCAAAAATGCTCTTTGTCTTTGCTAAACTTTTTTCTTCCTCCTCGGTGTCCCTCCATCTTGTCCAAAGGCTACAGAGTACGAGCCCAACTTCTCACTGAGTCCCGCGCACTAACACGCTCCACATGTATGTGTCCTTGTGTTCCGAGGGCCAGGAGCCAGGCTGTCCATTTCTGCTCCCTGCCAGAGGATGTGCTTTAGAAATAAAAAAAAGGGAAGAGAGTCCATCTAAGACATTTAGCAGAGAGCTTCGAAGGAATCTTGAGGGCAGATCGGCCTCATCTGTGGTCTAACCGAATCAATCAGGCCCAGATGACAGCTTTACCATTGTGGTTGCCTCTTAATGGCCCATTAAAGAGAGAACATCCAATGGGAAGGAGGAAGAGATGCAACACAAGGAAGATTTATTTTATTTTTATTTTTTTCTTGGAAGAGCAAATCAACTTCAGGAGCTATTACCCAGACGAAACCAGAGGAAATACATGTTGCTGCAGAGATGTACCTGATCCGACCCTTTCAAGAGGTCTCAYATGTGACCAATATATTAGTTTTATATCAAATTACCACAATAGGAAATGCGTACAATAAACTTCTATTTTATCCACACATTAGAATGTGTGGTTAAAATTCTAAGTTTATGGCAGATAGTATAATAGAATGATTCCATTATTAGACTTTCTCATGGGAAAAATGTTCACCTCTGATTGAAAATCTGTGAGTAAATAGAAAATTTGTTTTGTCCTTGAAAAAGTAAAAGAAACAAAGATCAACAGTGTTGCCAAACTGCAGTTACTCCAGAACACCTAAATATCAAAATCACAAGCGCACAGCTCTATGGAAAGATGGAGATATATCTTCCATTTTTGGCCCCCAGYAATCTAAAAGAAAAGCGGCTGCTTTCTAATGTTGGAACCCCGAGATTAGATTAGACTGAGCCCTTTTGTTTCATCTCCTGAAGCAAAAACAGGAATTACCTGAGGTGTCGACTCGGTTTAAGGCGTGAAAAGCGTCTGAGCTGGGATCTGTGGCAGGGTGAAGAGGATGGAGCCGCGGTGTGTGTGTGGAGCTTCTCAGCCTCTCTCTCTCTCTGCAGGCTGATGCTGCTCAGACTGTCAGAGGGACACCGGAGTGAACAATAACACAACTTCCGGGACGATTCTTCAAAACAAAAGCACACGTCCGACAAAATCATGTGACCCGAGGCTAAATTGTTGAAATTGAACCAAAGTCAAGTCAGAATAACACAACTTCCGGACACGTACTTCAAAATAAAARCACGTTTGCCACAAAACATGTGAACTTTGTAAAAATTTACCGGAACAAGTAAACATTTTAGCCAAGATTTAACTGCTGTCGAGACACACGGAGACCCGAATGAARTCAAAATATTTAACTTCCGGTCCACAACATCACAGTAGGTTAGTGTGTCCGGAAAAAAAAAGCACTCGCACTTAAAAAATAAAAATAATAAATAAGTTTCCGGTTCAGCCCTTCACAACAAAAGCACCCTTCGACCATTTAATGTCCAAATAAAACCCTTGAACAATCTCTTAATTTATGCAGCTATTAGCAGCAATAATTTGTTCCCCTGCAAGAGGTTTTCAAACTCGTTCAGCTAGAGATGCTGCTGACAAGGAGAACAAAGTCAAAGCAATCCAACKTCCGCTTTCACTTCACTATAAAAGCACATTTTTGACAAAACAAATGTAAACAGAATAAGTTTTTGTTGTCGAAAACGTTTAACACATTAAATTGTATCATAAATGTGAAGACACAAGCCTTAAACTATTCAATGCTATATTAAAATATAATAGTTATTAACAAATAGAGTCTTTGGGCAGATGACCAGAGTAATACAACTTCCGGCTTGGAGYTTTCATGATAAAAGCACATAGAGAAAAATTCGGTAAGAGTAATTTACTGTTATTTAAGATTCGTTGTATTTATCACGCTCTATATATTTTTATAAGTATAAAACATAAACTAGTGTAATAAAACTTTTAAATAAGCAAATACAATTTTGCACTTATTTTCTGCGAGAAGGTGCGTTTTAAAAGTCTGTAATTTTTTGTCTTGCAAAACCCGTGATCGTAAAAAGAGAGAAAAACGAGCCCTAAACGTATAATGAGCAAATCTCGGGAATATTTTAAGCTCGGCACCCTTTCCATCCTGCTGATCTGACGCATCCTTTGTGTTTGTGAACACGACGTGAAACGATGCATCAGTGAAAAATGAAGAGAGAGCAGCAGAGGTTTCCTGTGAACCGGAGTGAACACCACAGCCCCCTCCACTCCCAGCTCAGGCAGGCAGACCCCCACATTCATGCCGCAGCATCGTATTGCAGTCCTGAYCTCAGCACAACTTAAAGCTTATTGTCTGCGGGGGGAAATCTTCCCTCCAGATAAAACTCACCCGCTTTGTTTGCTCCTCAGTCATCCCTCCTCCTCACTCTCTTCCTCCTCGAAAATAGTTACACCCGCTTTATAAACAACAGCTCGGTCGTTTCCTCACCTCACTTTCCCCTCTTCTTCTTCTTCTTCTCCTTCTTCTTCCAGCAGCGCCCGGGTCCAAACACTTCACACTCTTCCCGGAAACCATCACCTCTTTTCCCATCATTTATTTTTGGGGAGCATCTCGGTACTGGTAGTTCTGCAGCCGATCAGTCCGCAACGCAAACTAGACCCGGCTTTGTGCCGTGAGGACTTCAGTACCCACCAGGCTTTGCAGTGCACTGATCTGGGGGAGTCAAAGGGGGGTGGAGGAGCAGCTCGTCAGTGTGGAGAGGAAATTAAAAACAAGTTTGTTTTTTCTGTTTTCACATCATGAAACTATTGAGTGCTCTGTCTGGCAT